ATTATAGGATTCAGTGTTAGACAAGATTTTTTAAAAACATAAATATCTTCTGAAGTGGTTTTGCTTGTAAACATAGACATGAATATGTATTAAAAAACCTGAATTCACACTTATTTTATTTACAGTTGGCAGTGTGAACAAAAAACCCTTAGAAATACATGTAAGAGGAATAATAGAAATTTTCTAGGAAAGGGGAGTGATTCTTCAGAATTTCTAGAAAGCTTTAATACTGCATATTCCTCATATTTAATGTTGAGACCATGAGGTTCCTTAGCTTTAGGTCACCACAACCCATAAGTTTGTTGCTTTTTCTTTTTGTTCCCAGGATGTGTAAGACACTCAAGATTTGTACCAGCTCTGTTTGGACTTCAGTGAGAGTCAAAGAATATCGAGATTTTAGACTGGAGTCTAAAGTTTGTTCTTGACCAATGAGAAAGTGAAGAAATGAAAAACAAAAGCCTAGTATTGACTTAAGATACACAGTGAAAAGGGCAGGTAGCAAACTTTCAACAGAAATCCAGGATAAGGTGAAAAACTCCCAAACCCAACTACAGGATCTAATCTAATATATTCAGGGAAAATCAGCATTTCAGATTCTTAAAGTACATAGGAATAAAGACACCTCCACAGATATGTTTCAGTAAAATGATAGAACCACCAAAAATGAAACTGTTATATTGACATTTTCTTGAGATATATGTCTACATTTTCCAAAATTATACCAATATCTTAGGTTGTCCATTTATTCTTGAAACAAGGGAAAAATCTATAATTTTTTTTTCCTCCCAATCAAATGTTTAAAATTAGGGTTTATTTGCCTACATTTATCATTCCAGTTTATTTGCTCTAATTTATTTATTTCAAAATCCACAGATTGATAACGTAATTACCAGCAAGGAGCTTGAATTTATTCAATTGCTGGTGCAAATGCCACAGTTTCCTTGTTTACATGAGGAGATTTTCACTAGCACTGCTATCTCAGTCACTGATCACCACTGACTGAATCAGTGCTATTCCCATCTGGACACAAGCCCACATTTTTTTGATATGTGCCTAAACAGAATGCAAAGCTTTATAACTGAATGAAAGATACCTTCATTTCAGGTAACATAAAGATACTGGTAGTCACTCCTACACCCATATGCACTAAAAATAAAGAAATATATCCCTGAGTTAAACCAACATAATCACGGTTATATAGTGGCAGGATAATTTAACTATGCATAGCTAGTTTGCAGGGAAGAACTTCTACAAACCAGCAAAAAAAACCCCAAAAAAACAATAGATCAAAGATACCAGAAGAGAAGCAAAAAAAAAAAAAAAGAGAACATGATGTTACTATACCAGTATGCATGAATGTAATACCACAGTCAAGAAAATATCAAACATTGCTCTCTGAGAGACTGGGAACTTCAGTGATAAGATAGACCTTCTGTTTCTTGGTCATGAACAGCTTGGCTCTAAACTTCCATCTTTGGTCAGGATGCAGAAGAAACACCAAATTTCTAGTAGCTGACCAGATGTTGATGAAATTTAACAAACAAGCAATCTTAATTGAAGAAAGAGTCCACTTGGACTTTTGGGCTTCAGCATCGACTGCCTAAAACCGGAACACTGAGTATTAAAAAATAGAACCTTAATTTCAACCTCTGCACTACTTTTCAGGAAAGGCAATTGAGGAGAAGGGCTCCCTCCCAACAATAACTAATGAAGAGAATCAGTTGCTGCAATTGAGCACTTTTGCTGTGGCTCAGCTAAGCACAACTTCACACAGCCTTTTAAACTAACAAAAAATGAGAGAGATACATAAAAACCAACTGGAAAATATCATTTGTCAAAATGCTGTGGGCAACAGAACCCCTTGTGGGGAAAGAAGGTGGATTTGACTTTTGTATTCACGACTATTTTTTCAAAACACAGTGAAATCCAGGAGTGAAATCAGTATAATTTATTTCCTCAGTTTTAAATAAGAAATTAATTGAGAGGAATTTAGTGCAAAGTTTTGGTAAAAATTTCAGCTCAAACTGGAAATTGTCATTTGACTTACCATCAGTTGTATGCCACTCTAATAGATTGGATCCTGTGTTATGAAAAAGAAATGAGATTATTTCTAAGTTTCCTTTGCCCCAGGGGAAAAAAAAAAAGGTGAAACAAGCCTGTAGAGGTTCTGGTCTCACCACTGAGTCAAACACTTCATTGGCTTCAGCAAATCCAGCATTTTATGCTACATGTATAAAGGGAGACACTGACATGAAAAAACGTGGATTGGAAAACCTGTGTGCGATGTTACACAGAGGATTGTAACAAAAGCATGTCATGGGTCAGATACACAACAGCAGTTTATAACATCTCTCTCTCCTTCCCATCTCAGTTTATGCTGCTGATAGCTGCTACAGCTAGCAGGGAATCCCTCCCCTTCAATAATCCCCTTTAAAGCCCTTGGAGCTTCCTTCACACTCATGGCACTCAGAACAAGTGCCTGTGAGGAAGGGTTGCACAGTCTCTGTCTGGTTCTTTTTCCACTTTTAACAACATAGTAAAGCAAATGAAAAGAAAGTATGATTTTCAAAGGTGTTGGATTCTTTCCAATGCCTCCAAAATCAATTTTAAAAAGCACATGAAAGGTAAGCAGAACAAGTGAAGAGGATTTTCAAGAATATTTACTGTTTGTATGTCTCTACTCTCTTTAAAGATACAGGAAATTTCTCCCTAACATCATAGACAGCAGATGTAAATTGGTATTAGAATCAAAGTAGAACATAAGCCCTTTTATCTGGTGATAATCTTTTTGCAATTCCTTGATATTCAACAATCACAATTCAATAGCAACCTACTTTTCAAAGTACTTAGTTAAAGTGTAAGGAAATAGAATGGGGGCAGGCAGGTTGCTCTTTCTAGATCCACAGAAAGCTGCTTGAACAGAAGCTTTTCAGAGAGGAGACTTTGCACCTAATATATATTGAAGGATCTTTTCATGCACAGACTATAGGCCGTGATTCTTTTCCTTGCTTTAAATCACAAAAGGAAACCACGAGCAAACAATGGCTTTAAAAAGAGAAACAAAAGATAATTCAACTTTATATAGAGAGTCTGTTTGCCTCCCCACACCCCCTGCATATCTGTATGTATACACGAGGAAAAGACTTTTAAAACACCATACAATGATAATTATCCAATTTTTTTACCAAAAATGAGAAAAATATCTGTTGTTACTCTAACTTCAAATATCTGAAAACTTGTTCTCTAAAAATTATACTTTCTCCTACATTTTTTTTGCTATTTAGCCAACAGTTAGACATAGTTATCACTACAATATATGTAAAAAGTATTACACATTGGTTTCAAAAATTATTCCACCAGTTAAGGTTTCTAGCATCTGTCTGCTAGCTATAACATGCAACAAAATGTGTTTTGTTGCTTAAATTGATCTGTTTAAACACTGTGACATTAACATATTATCACAAGTATGTTTAATCTATCTTTTGAAGGGGATAGCAATATTGGCTGTAAGCCACTTTAAGCCTTCACTCTATTTTAAAGGAAAAGTTAGAGATCAAAAGTAGAGAGCATAAATACACAAAGCCTTGGCACTCTCCTTCCATTTCAGCACTCTGCACTGACCTCTACTGGTTTCTTCACTTTAGGTTTCATCAGTATGAAACTATACACTTTCATTGAGCTTTTGCACTCTTTTCTTCTAATTCAGGGATGAAGTACATTGCATCCCACCCTGCTAACTTCTCCTTGACTTAAGGTCATAAAAAGATCAAATTTACACTTATTGTGTAGGCAGTTTATCTGTAGTGAATGAGACACTGCTAAAAAAAGCACCTCACAGTATATATCCAGCTGAAATCTGAAAACTCTATCTTAACACATTAATTATTACTAATTTGTTTTTTTTTTTAATTTAACTGCTATCTCATGTCTCATGTCGTTTGCCTTATACAATTCCAAACATCTGACCTATGACGAAGATCAGAAGTACTACTGCAACACAAATACCAAAGTTGTGAATATAAATTTAACATCTTTAATCATCCCCATCTGAAATACTTCTGCTTCGCAGAACATGCTTCTCTCTAGAAGGTTTTTCAGTACAAATATTTGCTTTAATTAAGGCAGACCTTGCAGCTTTTATAACTACACACCAATGGATTGAGGTACAGTAGCAGGCTTGGCAATATAAAAGTATCACTGTAAACGCTTTGTCAAACCAAAGTCATTACCTTGTCTTATTGGGAGGAGTGATGAACTCACCACATCTTTCATACAACTAAATTAAATATAAACCAACCATTTTTAAACTGATGACGAGAAAAAAAAAAACAACCCTAGTTCTTTATATGCTTTACAGTAAAAAGCAACTCTAGTTAGTCATAAGTGAGCAAACTTTTCCACCCTCATTCACCAAAGAACACTTTCGTTGTCAGCAAAACCCAAAACTTTCCAATTTTAAAAGCATATTTTTAGATCTCTTTGTTAAGAAATTCTTTTAAGTATGAATAACATACTTCTTACATATCATGAGAACTCGATTTCCTCTCACTTCTCTGCTGGTGGCTCTAAACAAACTTAAGTTTTTTCATTCACCTGTACTGTCTGGAGAAAAACCCCGACAACTGCTGACCACAAAAACAATGAAGCATTGTTGTTCTGTTGAAATAGATAGTAAAGTGGATAACATATAATTAATTCAATTTTATAACAGCAGGTTCCCTATTATTCACGAAGCTATTTCGCGCATTTTTGTTTCATTTTCCATAAAAACCTTTCTACATCCTAGATACAAAACCCCCTGAGCCCGGAGGTGCTGGTGCCCGTGCGCTGGCCAGCAAAGGGAGGAGAGGGGGTGCCCCCAGTGCCCGCAGCCCCCAGGGCAGCGCACCCCCTCTGCTCTGCCTCCACACACCATCAGCTTCACCGTCCGTGCTGGAAACCCGCTCCTGGCCCTGCCCAGAGAGCTCGATGCTTCTGCTCTGTGTGGCTTCTCCCCTTACCTTCAGCCGGGGACTGAGGATGGCTGTCCGCAAGGTTGCCCGGTCTTGCTGGGTTTGCCACCGCTCCGATACTCACGCTGCTGCTCCTAGGACTTGGATGAACAACTGGATCTGATCTGCTTATTGTCTGCTGTGTTAGAAAGAAAACATTTTGATGATCTGTCTCTAGAACTGGGCCTTTGCTCAATGAGCAAGTACATAATCGTTCTAAGATTTGCAAATCAGCCTCTTTTTCCACGTGTGGGAAATTGAAAATCTCATTAAAACTTCCTATAATTTAAAGGACTGAAAGACATTGATTTTCACTAAACAAGGTGTTGACTGGTTCACCATGAGACTGTCTTCTTTCCAAAAGGCATTTTAAAGCAGTACTTTCGTCCAGCTCTGTGCAAAATATTCCACAACAGCCCCAATAACTTTTTTCCTTACCTCTGGTATTCCAGTGAGGTCACATTCTGTTAAAAACATCCTGTCAAGCTTGGTACAAAAGGGCTCCAAAGAATCAGAATGCAGAAGCTATGCAACTTGCTGACTAACTTTGCTCTGTGTTATTTACCAACCACACAAAGAAAATGCTGTCTATTCAAAACACAGTTCAAAACTCTCTTCACAGAAAGTGAGTGAACAAACAGTCCCATGTCCGATGCTGTAGTCACATCTCCCATGAGGCCCGGTGATAGCTCTGGGGCATGGGACGGAGTGACACCACCAGCAGTCACTACAAGGCACTTTTGTAAACAAGTAGTGTGTGTGTGCAGAGGAGAAGGAGGAGGAGGAGGAGGAGATGGGTGTTACTCTTTCTCTGTCTTAACATTATGCTTTATTTGCTTTATCAAGTTGAAGCAGAACTTCAGTCTACTTGGTGCATTTGCTATGGTCCTTGCACAGGATTTTCCTCATTATAACTTTTATTTTCTTCCAGAAGGGATCTAAAAAGAACACATGGAATTTTTGCAGGATCTAGATTTGGAATTCTGGAGCTCAGTTAAGTAGCAAAAGTTAGTTCACAATCTTCCAGACTCATCACAGAAACGGAATGACTTAATCTATTTCATGACCAGAAAAAAATCCAAAATGGTCTAAGTACTATTTTAAATTCAACTATTCTTTGTAAATTCTTACCCCACTTGTTCAAAGGCACACCTTGGCAGAAATGTCTTTTTCAGCCCCCTAAAGGAAGAGAAAAACCATACAGACCCAACACTTCCAGTACTGACCACTGGCCTCTACTCACACCAAGACACTCCGGTGCCTTTCCTTATACTTACAATAAATCACAAACAACTGTTTCCACATTTGGAAGGATAATTGTCATCATTAATCCCTTTGTAATTTCATTTTTTAACTGTCAGACAAGCACTGGAATCCTATTTTTGCTGCACAATCCAAACCATCCTCACTTCCTATCTCCAAGGTATCTCTTCACATGCTTGTTTTTTTTTCCTTAACATTTATTTAGTAAATATTTTTTGATATGTTTTCAAAGGTCTAAAAGACAGGTGTCATAAAACACCTGAAACGTAGGTTTGTGAGAGGAAAATATGAGACATAGTGACATTATTATGATGTAAAATAAACTCAGGTCGGAATTTTCTTTTATAGGGTATTGATCTGCACCTTTATGAACATTTATAGGCTTGTGACATAAGTTATTCCAAACCTATATTCCAGGAATAAGTATCATTCCAGGTATGACATAAAGCACATTCAACTGCTGATATTCTTCAATAGCTGAATGGTCCATAACCAATAATTGGATAATAAAACTATAGCTTTTAAAATGGAAAGGTTTTCTAGAAATACATAAACCCTTAAAATACCTAGATACATTTCTTTCATGCAAACTAGAAAACAATGTCTCTAAAATACTAACGGTGAATGATCTTGCAAGTAAAAATGTCCAAGTAACTTAGGATTTCTTAAAAAAAATATGATTGTTTCTCACTATTCAACAATCAACCAGTTTTCAGTTAGAGCTGTGCCTTGGCAAGCAGTTCCATTCTCCAAAAGCATCTACTTACAGATATCAAGTGAACTTGCACTTGTCCTCAATAGCTGAAGATACTATACCAGTTGTTATTGCTTTTTAGTCTATAAAAAGCCAATAGGAAGATATCCACTTATCTTTGGGGTTTTTTTTATATTTCAAGTTTGCAGCATAAGTTCTTCTCATGTCATTAAAATTAGTAATGTACTACAGAAAAGTATACATACATTCTTCCCCTTTCCAAATAACCTCAATTTTCCACTTAATTTTCTGTGTCTCAGGAGCACATGCCCTGCCTACTAAAGTACTGCAGAATGTAGTAAGTTGATTATTTTCATGTATCACTATGAAGTCAGAAAGTCTATAATCCCTGTTTTATGGACTGGAAAAACCTTAGTCACATCTTCCTCTTAAGCTTTTTCTGAGGCCTAGTACCTATTTTTGAATAGGTCAGAACAAACATACATACACAAGAGCCAGGTATATAAAACATTTAGACTCTCAAGCCTAAGTGTCTGATGACTTTTTCTTCTCTGTTTCTGATCCTGTAACAAACTTTTGAGAGGTACACTTTACTTCTTTAGGGAACTCTACCAAATTACGTGAGTTGAAGAAATGTTAGAGAGACAGTTTCACGTTCTCTTGTTTAATGCTGTGGAATTCTGTTCTTTGATGCACCCGAGGTTATGTTTGCCATAAGTTTATTTTGTCATTTGCAACCTGGCTTTCTACACCCCACACACAAAATCACTTCAGTGATTTTCAGTGATTTTTTTCAGTGGTCACTGAAGGGTGGCCTTTAGGCACTGTCCTTCCTTTGAATCCTTTCTAGGATGCCTGTTCCCTTAATTTTTGACATCAGTAACTCCCTTCAACTTCACAAGGATTATCAGGTTGTTTTATTCATGAGTCTCAAAACTGGGACAGCAAAGTCCAGCTCAGATTAGAAGGTCCTCCAATCTGCTCTCACAATCTATTAATTTAACAGGACCAGCTCCAGTCTATATGTGTGTTTTTCAAGAATTGCCGTATACTTCAGTCTCATGGAGAAAGAGGGTTGGAAAGTTTAAGTTTTGATATTGATTTGCCAAATCCCTCACCTGGGAGCTAAGATGTGAGCCTAATATGCCTAATTAATTAATTAATTAATTAATTTTACTAATATTGAAGCCTTTAATGCCAAATACTCTTCTCTCTGTCCAAAATAGCTCCACCAAATAGGAACTGAGATGAAGAAAGCTTGATACTAAATATGCACAGAGAGGACACCTGGCTGTAGTCAGCAGCCTGATACAGAATTTTCTGGGGATGACAGGCAAAGCTAACAAACAAAAATGGAAGGAGGTAGAAAGAAAAAAAGGAACAAAGTGCTGCTTCTGGCTATTCACAAAATATACACATCACTTTAAAAAAAATAAATAAATAAAAATACACGCACACAAAAAATCAGGTAGTTCGTGGATAAAACAGGTACCTCATAATTCCAGGAGCCACACTGGATACCAAATACCCACATGCTCCCATCAGGTGGTTTAAAAAATAAAACAAAGAAAGATTTTTAATAATCCTGTGCTTCCTCCTGTTCCATGTAATTACCATGAATTACAGTCTGGAGTGATTCTGTAGAGAGGGTTGAGGGGACTGGGGTGAATTTGAAACAGATAAAAGCTGGGCAAACCACTCCAGTAGTCAGGCTCATGCAAAAGTACTAAACCAGAAACAAATGCTGCTGATGCTTTTGTTCTGGTCTTTTACTGAAGCTTATTCTGGCCTTCTGATGTGCCTCCTATAGGTTGCCTCTGCCAGGCAACTGTGCATGTGCTCACAGTCCCAACTGCTAGCATCACATTTATTTATTTATTTCCAACCCAAATAAACTCTTAATGGCTTAACATAAAACATTTTGGATTTTTTTTTTTTTTTTAAGCACACTAAATAATAAAAAAGCCAGAAGCACAAAAGGCCATAAGGGAATGAAAGGGATGATTGTTCAAAGCCCTATTAAAAGGTTTGTTGCTTTATTTATATATTTTTTTAACAGCACAATTTCAGAGCCTTTTAAAGAAGACTCCTCCTTCCCAGTTGCCTGCCAAGACAGTACTTAGCTGAGGGAGGGAGAGCCCTCTCTTTAAAAGAAGATGGTATCTATTAGAGAGAGAAAGGAAAGAGAGATACATAAAAAGGCTTTCCCAAAAACAGTTGTCCAGAAGGGTCAGTGAAAAGAAACAAAAGGTATGAGATGACAATTAAATGGAAAGAAGATGAGATCATTAAAGCAGAGCACACTGAGAGGAGAGGTTTTTACAGCAAAAATGGTTCTGTAAAGGTCATTTTAGTTACTCTATTATACTAACCAAGGCCCATATTTAGGCATCTGTCAGGTAGTAATTACAAAGCGTTTCACAAAAATTAACTCTGAAAGCCCTCTTTCATGAGGTAGGTGAGGGACAGAGACCCACTTGTGGGCAGGCAGAGACCAGGTTATTTCTACAGAAGACCAGAAAACTCTTGGACAGCATTACATGTTACAAAGCAACAGGCACAGAAAGATTAGTCTTCTTCTTGGTATGTTGCATTATTTAATTGCATTTATCAATTTGTCTGGGTAGAAGACATTTCAAATGCAGTTAAAATACCTAGAGATAAAGCTGAGGTCCATATTGGCTCTCTTTTCCTTTAGAAGCAAATATTACAGTCTAGGTCTCACTCTTAAAATAAGTTCCTCCAAAAATTGTCACTGGTTAAAAGCCTGTTTTCTCAAAGTGCTGTCAGCAATCACCATCACAGACATGATCACAAACCCCCAGGTAAGTCATGGAAATCTGAGTAAATGCTGCCAAATGAGCTTTGGTATTAACAGGACACAGTGGCCACTGATGACATGTCATGGTGGCTTTTACTGCCAGGGGATGGTCTGTGGTTTGTTCTGGCTGGATTTCTGTACAGCTCATGACACCACTCCAGACATTAGGAACGATGTATCTCTGTTTTGAGAATGAGAAATCTCCTGTGCAGCTGAGGAGGGAGTTTGAAGAGCTGCACCTTTCCTGGTGGGCTACAATCAGCTACATCAGCTTGCACTGTCAAAGCCATTGGACTCTGGGGCAGTCTACATTGCAAAAGGGGTGCAGAAACCTTTGATACTTCCCATCTTTTAAGGACAAGAAAGAAGCTAATACAAGAAGATATTTTTACTGTAGTTTTGATGCAACAACAACAACAAAAAAAATCATCCAGCTCCCAAAGACAGGTTTATTAGAAACACCTCTGTTTCAGAAAAGAAATTTCATCCTGTGAACCTAAAGACAGCTTTCATTTTCCTTCAGGTGTTTTATGATATGAAGCACCCATTTTAGTGACAATCTCCAAATCAACTCGGCTGGAAACTTTTAAAGGAAAACAACTGAAAATTTTTCAAGGACTCTTAGGTTCTCAGACTGATATGTAAGGGTCATAGATTAAGGTGCAAACAAATTCTTCAGAAATTATCCTTTTCCTTAACGGGTTATTTTTTGCCTGGGTTTGATTTCCTAAATTTATCAGGTCCTGAGATAGAGATTAGGAGATGGAAAAGACCTTGGAAAGTGGT